TTAAGTTCCACCCCTCTCGGTTCTAGTTTATAATCTACGTAACAACGAGTCCTTTTCTGACGTACCCAAAAAGCGGGGGTGTTGTGGGGGTGGGCAACCCCCCCCCCCCCCATTTGTTTGTTGTTGCTAGGGCTCCGAGGACCTTGTTCGAAAAAACTGAGAACGAAGTGGAGAATTTGTCTAAACTAAGACCTAAGACCACCCCACCTCGTTTCTTGTTTTTTGTTTCTTGTGTTCATTATTCGAAAATCAGAGAGGAGTAGAGAATTACTCTAAATTCCACCCCCCCTTGTTTCATGTTTTTTGTTTCTTGTGTTCATTATTTCAAAAGGTAGAGAATGAGAGAAGCAGAGACTTAGTCTAAGTTCCACATGCAACTTCCACTTCAGATCTGGTTCTGGGCGCAGTTTTCAAATTCTTGGGGAGGCATCACAGATGGGCAGATAGCTGACGCTCAAGTAGGCTGGCAAAGCCAAGCGCAACCTTTAAGCGACCGAACATTGAAGCTGGTGCAGCCGGAAAGAGCACGGCGCAACTGGGAGATGCTCTGGCCTTGACTGGTGACCCGGCTTTGAAAGGGAGCGGCAGCCTATCGGGATCACAGTCGGATCACACGGCAGGACGTATGCAGAGCTGTTGCAGCCCCGTTGCACTGGAAGGCAGCTTCAGTTCGGAGGTGGCAGTCTTGGCGGCGCAGGCTGGGAGCTGCGACTGTGTGTTTACTAGTTTCTGAGGGCTAGCGGAGCTTCTTACTTAATCGATAGCTTACATCTGGGGTGAGGGGGGGGCCCCCAGAGGTCCTGCCGCGAAACCTGCCAAACGCAGGCCAAATCCATGGGCTCCTTGTTCTTTCGGCCCATGCGGTTGTTTTTTCGACTCGAATTTTTTTTTTTCCCCCGGAGAGAGCTCGGCCCGGGTATTGTTTTTCCGGCCCCCGGCGTTGTTTCCCCCCCCCCCCCCCCGCTTGCTTTTCTGGCCCCCGACGTTGTTTTTCTGTCCCCGGAAGGGGGGGGGAGGGCTAGCCAGGGGAGTAGCAGTCGTAGTCGTAATCGCAGTAGTAGCAGTAAGCAAGCTATCTGGGGGGTCCCACAGGGCGGCAGGGGGGTGGGGGGGGAGGGGGGGCGTCGCGAAATCTGTGGGAAGGAGACCGGATCCGTGTCTGCTGTTCTAAACGCCTCAAGGCAGGAGGCCGGGGCGAATTTCATGTTTTAAGGGATGGGCAAGTTGCCACCCATGAAATTCACGGTTCGGGACTATGGGTCCTCGCCACCCCCACCATGGTGTTACTGGGATAATGCTCCTATTCACTGAACAAAACTATTCGGAGGCTCTCGGGAAGAATTGAGAACAACATCCAAGAGATCTGCATTCAAGTGGCTTGTTGGGAGGTTTTCGGAAGACCCGCAAAAACTTGAAATCATGTCTGTTCCGGAGGTTATCGTTTCCGCGGCCCTAACATGTACTGGTTTAAATCCCATCTCTCATATTCTCTGGAAGGAGTGCTGCTGTTTTAAGGGACTCCCTTCCATTTGCCATGCTTTATCTTTAACTCGACATATGTATATCAAGTGGGCAATTTGTCTGCCTTCTGTGCCTAGCCTACAAACTCCCTGGGGTCCCCAAGACTATGAACCAAAAATCGGTGACCCCAGCATTGCCAACGAGTCTTCTCAGCATCTTTCATCTCGTCAGGCCTGTCCAAGTATTCAGCCAAGCATTCAGGATCTACATTGGACATTTGTTTAAGGGAATTCCCACGTTGTTTACTTTCCCATCGGCTTATAAACAAAACCTTTAAACCCATTTAGAGAACTACTCATGTGTCTCTTATGTTAAGAGCGCACCATGTATTTCTAAGTTCCACACGCAAAGGGTTGTGGGAGTAGTGCATCTTGCTTTGGGGCCCTGTTGCGGAGAGGCTCTAAAGGTTAACAACATCTTGTTTGAAGGCTTACGGTCGGGAATTCGCGTTTAGGGCCTTGTCACTCCCCTGCGCTTTTGTCAGGCAGAGCAGCCGTCATTTCCCCTTCGTGGATCAAGCCCTTTAAAGCTCCCATGAGGATACACATGTCGCAGAATGGCAGGCCAACCTTCAACAGAAAGACAATGCAGCCCTTAAACAAATTATTCTGATCGGAAAAAGCAGGTCCTCAGGGCTCGCTCTCGCTCTCTCTCTCTCTCTACTATTCTACTTGTTCATGTTGATATTTATATTGCATTGTTATGTTATACAATAATGTCTGGTATACTGTCATGTAGATATGAAATTGCTTACTTATCTCGTTATACGCTATTGCATATCTTTTCATGCTAAACTGTTCTATTCTATTGTATGGTCAAAAGGCGGCGCATTATTGCGGCCTACCAAGCCTCTTTGCAGTGTCAGGCTGGGCCGACCAGAGCGGAAAGGTCCCGCCCAAACAATCGCTGAAGTTCCTGCGATCAGGCTGATGCCAGGCGGCAAGAGCATTAGTTATTGGGCACGCTCTGCTTTTGCTGGGTTGTGATTCGCTCCTGGGCGCTTGCACAGGTCTGGCCCACCCTCTGACATTCAATGAGGAGCGAATGCTTCGGCTGTTTCGCAGCCAGGTGCCGCTGAGCATCGAGCAGCAGGGGCCCTGGCAAGCGCTTGGCGACCATGTTCCTTGACCGAACTACACAAAGACAATGTGTTCTCACGAAGGTAGGAAATGGCGCATCGGACAGTCGTTGCGGTCCTACTTGTAAGCATTCTGGGAAGGACAGATGCAAATACGAAGATGCGTGGACACAGAGCTTCTTGTCTGTTGCATGGCCGATGTCTCAGATGTGACTTACCGTAGCTTCATGGCATGTCGTGATGTTTGCCTGCTGCGCTAGCTTGACCCAGGCTGGGAATATGCGCCATGCGCATGCTGTATTCTCCGTCCGGGGACTTTCCGTCCATGCATAGAACATCTCATTTGTCCTGACTAACCCCCACCCCGTAAATACCAGTGTTTCGGGCGTCTTCGCCCTTGTTGCATAAACGTCAAACATCCTTCGCAAAATGCTGTAAATGCCAATGTTTTGGGCAAGGTCGCCATATACGAATGGTTCTCCCTCCCCTCCAACGGCCCCACCCCCCCCCCCCCCCCCGCTGTTTGGTGCGGGGTTGGCAGAGAGTCGAACCGAACCTCACTGACAGGGCAGGCGGTGTCCTGCGCGCGGCACTTCATGGTCAGGTGTTCACGGATTCATACCTGGGTGCATAGCAGGGTTTCGGTGCAGTCAAGACAAAAAGAACAGAATTGCCAAGGCCTGTGCAATTTACGGATTTGCGTACTGGCAGAAAGGAGGCCGGCGAGGACCTTGCATTCTCATGTGCAGGGACACGTGAAAGTGGCCGTCGCGCGTGGGACGTGTTGGCGACAACGGTTGCCACATGGCGCCCTTAGCGCATTGTAAAAACACTTCTGGAAGCTCGTTGATACCAGTAGCATCGTCTTCGGCCCTCTGCGGCCTCACAAGCTGTCTTCCGTCAACGTCTCAATTTACAGGTCTGCTGAAACCGGACTTGTCGTACTGGCCCAGAGCTTAAACTTGGTCGTACAACTTGTTGCAGACATTCTTAGGGGCTTTGTTTCCCGAGGGGGCGACAGATCGGCACGTCGCAGCCTCCTATGGTGTTAGTCCGGATACCAAGTGTTTGTTGGGCTCACTTGGACGCGATGTGTCAAAAGGGCCATGCTAGCCAAAGTTCAGGATGTCCCAGACGCCCCCGTGTTTGGGTGGAATCGGCAACAGCTCTTCACGTTTGCTCGAATGTGCATCTGGAGCCCTGGTGCAATACGAGGTGCCAAGATTGACTTACACCAGGAGGAAATGTTGCCGCCACTTGGTCCACATTGGCAAGTTCTCGCATGGCTGTGTCCAGCATAGTGATTTGCAAATCTGGAGATTGCCGGGGTTTCCCTTTTCAAGTTCTGGGATGTAAAAGGTAAGTCGCCGCCATGAACACGTATAGTATAGGAAAAGCTTTATTGTGAAAGGCCTTTAAGAAGTAGGATGTCTGTTTCTAAAGTGACGTAGGATGTACGATAGAAGGCAAGGCAAACTGGCGATCTGGCTTGCAACTCATCTTCAGGACTCTGGGGTTCACTGCACATGGTTGCCGGCGTGGGCCAGGCTGGCTTGCCCTGCTCTTTTTCTGATGCTGTCCATTTCTGTCCCACGCGGGCCTCATTTTTCCAGGCCCCTTACAACGCCCTTAAGACCTAAGTTGAATGGCAGGCAGGCAGCGTCCCTGAGTGTTGCCTAGGGTCAGCGAGGGGATCACCAACATGGACAGGCCCCGACGCGGCCGACCAGCGCAGCGCAGCGCCGAGCTCGAGATCAAAAGAACGAAGCGAAAGACACGTTGCAGGAGTGGGCTTTTGCCACCTCGACCCTAAATCCCTAGGCCCTCAAGGCTGAAACCCATCGTCACACTATGCCCCCAACTCAACAAAGCTTCTCATATCTGAAATCCAGATGTGCCACCAGGGACCCAACACTTGCATGAGCCAAGAACAACTTTTGTGGCCCGATACGTGAGAAACAGGATACCTGTGCTGATGGGAACCACCATGATATAGAGAGAGAGCTCATCTTTAACAATAGCTCCCTCAGCAGGTGTGCAAATTACAGGCAGGGTGGGCTTTGAGAGGATCCATGATCTCCAGCGCCGCCGTGATTCGACATCCTGAAACTCCCTCCTCCCTCCTTTGCTTTTCAGTCTCGTGTCAGCGATCTTGGACTTGTGAATGTGGATGGGACAGCGCCGGGAACCGACCAACTTCGGAAAGCTCAAGACACGCAGCATGTCTCTAGGAATGTAGGAAGTTTGACGGCAGCCGCTTGCCAATGTCTTAAGTGCCAGACCTACCATGAGAAACTGACGATTCCCAGTGTGTCAGGCCATGTCAGAGTTCACTCTCAAGTGATTTGTTCATTCCCCATCTGCGTCCAGCAGCAACGACTGCTGCGCAGTGTGTAGTAGCATGGGCGACCACTTCGGCGAACGACTTGGTGATGCTGTGTTGCGTCGTATCCTGTGCCGGCGTAGCTGATGTGTGGAGTTTCCAAACCATACGCGCAAAGGCATCTACGACATGTTCTCTGCCGTGTACAACTTCATCGTCCGACCCTTAAACGAAAACATCAATTTGGAGACGCAGGAAGCATCAATGTAGGTCCCGTGCTTCTTTGGGCATGTTGCTCAGGCTTGTGGACCCTGTGAGCGTGTTGATGCTGGGGAAATTGACTTTGGCGATCAGGTGCAAGCTCTGCTTTGATGCCTTTGCAAGGGGATTCGTCCAGATTTTGAAGCTTGTGAGAATGCATGTTGCCTGAGGAAGGCATGGCAAAGGCTCGGGTCCCAACGGCTGCGTGCTTGCAAGTGCGCGCCAGCACAAGGCGATGTGAGCCATTGAGTCAGGTCTTCGAAGTGCCTTCATGCCTTGAGAAGCTTGGCGATGTCACCCAACGACGGAAGTTTCCATGGCCACTCAGACCGATTTTAGGAGTTGAGATGAGTTGAGTGCCGGTTTTTCGACCATGGACTGTCCGTGGCAGGCAGGTGATGCCCAAGATCTCGGAGTACTTCGACGCAACTCGGAGCCAAGAGAGCTGGTTTTACTGGTGCTGGCACTGCTCGCGACTGCTCGCGACTCTCAGGTGCTGGATTTCAGCCATTTCCGGGTGACCTGCCGAGAGCTGTCTAGCACCAAGGCCCAACATCCCTAACATCCCTCGTGAAAGCTTATGCCTGCACCACCTTACATCAACTTTGACACGCGTCAGGTGTTCGTGGAGCACATGGCTGCTGTCACTCAGCGCAGGCTCGGCCGCTTGAACACCTACCCACGGGGATTGGTTTGCAAGTCAGCGGATGAGGCCCGACACCTACTTGGCTTGCCACCACCTCCGTGGAGACGTCCTCCCAGAAGGGACCGACCTGTATCAAAGCTTGGTGTATCCCCACTTGGGCAAAGTGAAGTTGTTTCGAATGGAATCCTTGGACGGGTACCGGGAGATGCAGATCGATGAGCAGCTTCGAGCATCCTGCGAAGGCCACGGACATTTTGAGCAGCATTTGCAGTGAGTTTGCAGTGAGTGGTCCGTTTCCCTTTCTGTGCCCACACATGCAAATCGTGACAATGTTTTGTTTGGATTGCGCCGCTGAGGTTTCCGGTCGTTGTTCCATCCTGCTGCCCTCGGCCATTGGTGGCAAGCGAACCCGAGAGCCGTCAGGGCTGTTATGGACGCAGTTGCGACACTGGCTCAGCATGCTGAACATGCTGAACACAGCAGCGGGCTCTGGCAGTTGACCTTCGATGTGATGCTGTTGTGTTTCACTTGCATTCACGACACGGACTTCAAAGCACAGTGTGCGGAGCAAGTGTTGACGTGGCTGGCGATGGACTGCTTTAGCAACGATGCAGATTACTTTTACGGGTGTCGCTGCCTGGTCTACTGTCAGCCCTTCCCACACTTGTACGACATGCATAGCAACGTCCTCCAGCGCATAGTTTGCAATACGAGACGGGCGAAGCAGGGCGTGCGTTGTTACACCAGGCAGACGGCGCAAACGGCAATGCACATGTGGAAGCTCGGTCATACTTGGTGGGCCTTCTACGTCTTCGACCACATAGATGCCGCGCTTGAGGACTCAGTCATGAAGAACATGAAGAACATGTGGAACTGGGCAAGTGCGAGTGCCATGTCAGCCGTCTAAAGGAGCAGCCGTAACGAGATGCTTGGCTTGCTCATCGGCTGGTGGCGATATCGCGCGGGGGAGACCTCATGATCAATAACCTCTTCAAAGCTGGTTGGGCGAGCCGTCGTCAGCAATACTGAGGTCCCTAATGTTGTCTTCGCATACACCGACGAGGTCTCACGATCACACTTCTCAGCATCTGGACGTCCACCGAGCTGATCGACCAATGTCAGCCGCGTGACACTGACACAGAATGCTGACGAGCTTTGATGTGAGTGTGGAAAATTCGGGCCCGTGCTTTCCGTTTACAGTCAACCTAGTGCAACTGTCGAACACCGCTTGCTTCGTCCAGGTCGTGTTGCTCATGGGTCAGCTGAATACTGTAGCTCGCATTCGTGGCCGTCTGCAGCATGCCAGCTGATCAACTGTCTGACGTACGCTGCTCGGCTCATGCCTGGATGCTTGCATACAGCTTGCAGTGGTTGAAACTTGAAACGCGAGTGTTAAAGATTTGCTTTCAGGCACAGGTCCAGCTTCAAAAGACTTCCAATGATGCTTCGTTACGCAGTTGTGCCTAGCTATAGTAGTTTTCACTGGTACTTGCGGCGTGATGGACCAGTGGATAAATGTGCTCATCGGCACTGTCCAACTTTGTTGGCTCGTCATTGTCATGCCGCTATTGATAACTATGCTGAGTCATGGCGGGCCCATGACATTCGGAGTGGCCCTCTTTGCCATTTGTCTTCTCGGCAAGTTGCGCCCTGACATCGTACGGTGCATGGTCTGCGACGAGGTGTGCCTAAAGCAGCTGTGGGCAGCGTTCCCTGCGCAAGCAGAAGAAGCAATTTCAGATGATGGCCGTACTCCGAAGTCTGTGGCAGACTCCCAGTCGGAGTGAGTGGCCGTGTGTCTTGAAGGGTGCTGCCCAAGTTGCAGCGCAGGGATTGCACCTCGCGCACGTGTTCATGCCGTATCATGTTGATTTGTCTCCTTTGGGTTGGCTTTCTTGGATGTGCAGGGTGCGGAGTGGGCGGGTGGTGGGTGGGCGGGCGGGCGGGCGGCGGGAGCACGCAATGTCCTGTCGGGCGCGCGCAATCTTGGACATGCCGTTCAGTTTAGCCGATGCGAAGCATGTTTAACCACTGCGTGTGTGGGCAGCGTGTCCAACACCCACTTATCAACATGTCAAAACACTTCCACTAACATAAACAAGTGTGGTCAAGAATCTCGAATCGTGTGGCAGGCGTGGCATTTGCGTGTAAAGAAACCGAGCAAGTTTTGACATGTCACTCTGCCAGATGGCGCATGAACAAAACAAAAGTGAGCAGACAAAACCCACGCGAAAACACATGTTTCATGATTGATGTTTCTGACTGCGCATGGTTCCCACCATCGACTTGGTGCCCCAGGGTGCACGAATATAGTTGTTCTCCCGATCTGGCTGGGTCTGCCTGCAGTCTCTTGCTGGCGCTCAGCAAGTGTAACCAGGAGCAACAAAACGATCACAAAGCCCCGGCAACACAGCAAGAGGAGAAGCTTGCAGCCAGTCCTGCAACAACTGCAAAAACATGCATTTCCCGCCGCAACAACGAAAGCTCGCTTTGCTCCCCCATCAACAATTGACGTTTATCTCCCAGCGCGACCAAGCCATCGTACCCGACAGCGACTAATTTCCCTCAACAGCAGCCAAATGTTGTCTTATCCCTGCATCGAAACACTTAGCCAAAGCAGTTGCTTGAGCACTTGTAAATCCGCCGATATTGCGGGGGCCGATGCAGCTGCGCCGCCAGCTTTGTAGCAGATGCGGATGCTGCGTACACTGGAATTAGTTTCATCAGGCAGGCTCCCAGGCTGTCAGGTTGGTTGCGCTTGGTGTGGGTTGACGAGCCTAGGGTTTGCTTGATACCCCATGCTCCCGTCATGTCGCGATCTTGCACGTCATGCATGTTGAATCGGCTAGGCCCCCTACGGGCAGAATCCTTTGAGTGGCAGAGTCGCAGTTGTTACAGTTTTGTTCGATTTGCGCTCGGCTTAAGCACAAGGCTCCTCCCAGTTCCCCTAGTCTGCGAGAGAATTCCATCTCAGAAGATCCAGTCGCTGTGTCAGGGAGGCCAGGAAGATACTGTTTGACGCAGCATGCCTTTTTGCGCCTTGGCCCGAGCATGTATGTGCCATCGGGGCATCAGTCCGTCATACCCACAAACAATCACAATCAGAAGCACCACACGCAGAGACGCGTGTACAGCAGCCGTGAGGTGTTTGTAATCTGACTGCTAGAAGCAAATTCGCACTCACACAAGAGCTGATGCATCACTGTCGCATGCAGTATGCTAAAAATGAGATAAGCGGTTAGACCAAGACAAGAGAGTTAGGGTCTCAAGGCGTGATGGGTGCGTGGTGAGAGTGAGTTCACGAGTGAGGTTCTCAATGCCTGGTGATGATAGCGGTTTTGGAGGGGTTATCAGCTCAGAGTTTAGGCAGTCAATATGATTCGTCCAACAATGAACGGGTTAATAGTATTCCTAAGAGTGAATCTGATGAACATTCTTAAGGTAACAACTGGGTGGAGGCGCTGAGGCCTTCCGGTACTCCAAAGCCCCCACAACTTTCTTGAGATAGAGCATGAAAGGTGCACATGCCGAGGGCTCGTCAGCATTCATGCTGGGAGCCTGATGGCAAAGCACTTTGCCTCTTTTTGTTGCCTTTTGCCTGCGCAAGGAAGGAAGAGACCTTGTTTTCGCACATGACGGCGGTGCTAAGCAGTTGTACCCTCATCCCGCCTTGTCACCATTGGTCCTTGTCATGCTGACAGCATACGTGGCAGCACAATGGATTGTGCTGGCTCTCACTCCAGTGTTTGGAGCAATCTGATTTTTCTGGGCTTGCGTGCGGCACATGTGCAATGTGCTTGACGGTCCTCTGGCAGCAAGCAGGTACTTTCCGTATGGCCTGAGAATATGAAGAAGTGCTTCGGAACAGATGCGAGTTGTTGAGAATTCCGTCAGCTGGCATGCGCAGTCTCGTGCTACTTGCCGTGCTAGCTTCCTATATTGTTGCCACACTGTTGGCGAAACTGGCATCTTCTTTGGACCCACGAATCGCCGTGCTCCTAGGTAACCCAGCAATACAGTCCAGCGGCATCTACGTTTCGCTGGACGGCGGAAGTGGCGCCAACCTCACCTGCAAGACGGCGAGATTTACCCCTTGAGCATCGATGCCATACCAAGCACTTGCGCCCACCCCGAGCAGCTATCAGAGGGAAAGAGACTTCAGCACCCGAATTCCTGGAGTGATGGCCGTCATGCTGGCAGCCCGGTCTGAACTGGACGTTACGCACATGCAAGGCAGGCTGCTCACCTATGAGTTCAGCTCTGGGCACTTGGTCTATCCAGCAAGCAGCCAGGCGCTTCACAACACGCTTCTACTTGCCGATGAGGTGGATTCCATCACCCTTCGGCTGACACCTGGAGAGCACACACAACACCTCTTGTGGAAATTGGACAGCCCACCCACTGGTAAGGGCAACTATGAACCATTGCTTCCGCTGAAACATGCAATGACGACAATGATTTTCCTGCCAGCTGGAGCTGTATTCTAGGCCCTCCTTGCGTGCAGTTGGCGCCTACGTTGACACGACCTCTGTTATTCATATTCTTCGATGTGTTGATGCGATTCACCTGTCCTTGCAAGGTTCATTCAGTGAACACGAATATCCTGCACACTTCTCGGAACGCCGCCTGCTGTTTCAGCTGCAACATCCTCAGTGGTATGTGTCAGACCTTGACGTGTCGACAGGCTCAACGATTAAGGCACACAGCACTATGATTATGGTGGCTCCAGCACAGACTGCGCAGTTTTGCGATTGTGGACCAGTGCCACCAGGCTGGATCGCTCCTTGGAATGGATTCTAACCCATACTATATGACTTCCGGTCGCCGTAAAACCTTTGCTTCGGTTGTGCTTTCATATCCCGCCGCCGTTGAAACCGTACCCTATGTTTGGTGAAAGTTGGCGTTTCGCCTAGGCGACACGCCTATTTTGGGAGGTTTTAGAAAGGCGTGATTTCGTAAGTCGTTTTTGCGAAACGTTGGGTTTTTGCGAGATTTTCGGGTCGTTTTGTTGTTGGGGCCTTGAGCGCTCTGGGACTTTCCTTTGCTGTGTGTGCAGTCGAGACGCGAGTCTCACAGCTTTGCTGTGTGCACGCACGGCAAACACTGTAATTTGCGATGTTTTTCATGCATTTCTGCCAAGACAGCCTCTGCAGCTGTGTTTTTTGGAGGCTTGCATTTCCGAAAACGCCTTTGCCAAATTTCAGGACTTTGACGATTTTTGTGGGACGTGTGTTGGGCATGGTCGCGAAAGGCTGGACGCTTGTGACAGGTTTTCTTCTTCCGCATCCTTGCGCAGTATGTTGTACAAAGAGGCGAAAACGCTGTAAATACCAGTGTTTTCGGCATGCATGCAATAGGAATGATGTTCTTATTCCCCCCCCCCCCACCCCACCCCAGCCCCCGCCACCCTAGAAAAGTAGCAGAAACCAGGTACGGTTACACCGCCGCATGCTTTCATATGCATGTTCGTCGGAATTTAGCGGTCTCGCTTCTCAAGTGCCTTCGGGAGCACATACGGATTTCGAAGATGACAGCGCAATCATCAAGCCTACGTAAGCCTACCATGCATCAACTGCATTGTCGGTGTCGTTCTTTATTGTTTGTCGTCGCCGCGGTTTTGTTTCCCCGTCGTGCTGTTGCTCGCCTCGCTGGCCTCGTCCTTTTTCGTCGCGGTCTTGCAGCTGCAGCAGTAGTGGATAGTAGTAGAAGTAGTAGTAGTAGTAGTAGTAGAAGAAGTAGTAGTAGTAGTAGTAGTAGTAGTAGTAGTAGCAGTAGTGTTAGATGTTACAGGGAGTTGTTGCGAATTTGGTTGTTTGAACGCAAAAAAATGGGCAACCCATCTCATCCAGATGTCATGGCATTTCGCAAAACGCAGAGGAGCATGTTTTGCTTGTCAGTTGGTGGATTTGGAGGCAAGAAGTTAGAAAGCACAGAGAGGAATGCATGATGTGTTCAGGTCATCCTTGTCATGCTCTGGCATATAGCAAAGTGCAGACGAACGCGCTGCAAAGCGCTTGATGCTGCGAAAGGATTGGATCGCGATCTTCAGGAGCTAACGGGATTTGCATTGAATTGTAGTAGTAAAGTAGTACATGTCAGCATAAATTCAGCTGATTGCCGTGATTAGTTTCTTCACAAGATGATCGACATCCACTTGAGGGGAGCTGACGCGTGTGCCGATCCCAAACCTTGTGTCTCAGCATCTTGCCCTTAGTCCAGTAGTTAATTTGCCCAAACCCCCTGCGTCCAAATAGCTCGGATGGCTAGAACCTTTTCGCAGAGGAAGCAAAGTTGGAACCGTTTTGGACACGGTCTAATTTCCGCACAAAACGAGGGTGGTTTGAATAAACTGAGATGTTTATCCCTTCCATGCACAAAAAAGGAGAAGTTTTCCACGCCAGGCTCCGAGGAATGACGGTTTTGCTTTTTTGTAAACCTTTGCAATTCCAAATGCCGGGAAAGCAATCACGCTTTCTCGATGTTTTACATGGTCCGCGCTTGTGTCTTTGATTGCCAAAAGTAAGAAACCCGGGGTGCGCGGAGGTGGGTGCCCAAAGCCTTTTAACCTTGTCGCAAAGCAAGCAGAGTTGGGAAAAAAACCTCAGATGTTTCCTCTGCGACCACATAGCTCGTGCCGCAACACAGAATGGGGCAGCAAGTTCAGGTTTGCA